AAGGCTATACAACACAATAAAAGAGAATACCTAATTTAAGTTATTATTATTGTTACAATTGTTAAATACTCCATAAGAGGTGCTCGAATATATGGTTGGGTCTTTTCCTCCCACCCCTCCCGGATTTTGTATATGTGGGAAATTGGTGTACGGTATGCCAGTTGGTTGGAGAATGGAGACCTGCGTCGGGGAGCGTTCTCGACCGGGTTGTCCTGATGAGGCCAGACCGTTACCTATTATTATTTACTATTAAATAAAGTGTGTTTATGAGTTTACTTATAATTAAAAGTGTTTATTAATTATACCCACTGTTAGCTGTTGAGAGTAGGTAGTTAACACAATTTTTATATTTAATAAGAAAGCTATTATTTTTGAGTTTGTAATCACCATTTGGAAGTAAAAAATAAAAATTCTTTGATTTTCTACTTCTGCATCTTTTCTGGCGTACTGACTGGTTACTGGCAGAAAAGTGAATCTAACCTTTAGGGTTTCAAAAGTGAAAAATTCCAAGTAGTTTTCAAAAGCTATACTAAAAGTCAAAAAAAGTTTTCGTAAATTTTTCATATCTATAAACAGCTCAAAAAGATCCTCAATTTCTTCTTTTTCCCTTTGATTTTTTTACTTTTGATCACTCATACTTCATAGTCATAGTACCATAAGATACATTTACCTGCCAGAAAATATGACGAATTAGAAAATTGAATAATTTTTATTGCCCCCAAAACTTGATGACGAACACAAAAAATATACACATACACTTAACACATCTAAAGTTATCAGCTTGTTTTACTAAATGCAACCAAAATCTGGCAAAATGCCATGCATGTATTATACTATTATGTAATATGCATATTAGGTATTAATTTAGGTAGGTACATAAAAAAATATTAAAACAAATTTAAATTTATAGTGCAGCCAACATCGTAATACGGCAACAAACAATGCACACAAGCAGTTTACTATCATCAAATAATTTGTAATCCAACTTTACAGGTCTAGTTAAAAACACGACGATCGGCCCACAGGAACTTTTCCCGTATCCCAGTGGCATGCTCAGCAATTTTGGATGGGGGGAAGGGGTCGGTTTGAAATTTTTTTTTCAAACAAAATATTTGTTAAATTCAGTGGTATAAATCAAGTGGTTTAGCGCCCACGTGAATTTTCCAATTTATTTTCGGAAATCAATGTATTACAAGTTACAACCAGTTAAGAACAATAGTGCAAAAATTAATTGCCGGAAATGATTAGTTTTTATGGTAAGCCTTACGAAGTTATTTTCAGTGTTTTACCCAACGTTTATAAAGTTATATAACATACCGCGCTTATAAAGAATTTTCATTTTTTAGATTCTGAGTGGAACGATAAATGTATTGATTTTACAATGATGGTGTTTTTATATTTTTATTTTACTTTTTTATTTTTGTGTCTGTGTACACGATAAGTAGTCAAAATAATGCTTCGATTTTCGACTTCAATATCTTGTTCGATTGGAAAGTGAATATCGTTGGTGCATTGGGGAGGTCAAAGTTTAATATTCCCAGTACTTTTCAAAAGCGCCAAGAAAAACAAAAGAAAAATTAAGGAAAAACAGGAATTTTTACGCAAAATCGATTTTTCAGAAAATTGAAATTGGTTTTTGGTGTAAGGCGTAACTTTAAAACAAATGACCGTAGATACATGAAATTTTCAGTGGTTGTTTATATTTACATTTTCTATACACGATAACATTTTAAAAATATTTTGATTTATTTTGAACTGTTTAGGGACATTTTCATTATTCATTTTTTTTTAGTTTTTTTTCTAAAAATATCAATATAATTTTATTTGTTGGTTAAAAAAACTTGAAAATTTAATAGAAAGCTACTAGTATATTGTTTCAAAGGCAGATGAAAAATATTAAAAATCGTTAGTCACAGTTTTTTTTTATAAGCATTTAAAGTTCAAAAATTGACAAAATATGGAAAAATCACGAAAATTAGCAAATTATTTTGAGTTAAGAATTCGTAAAAATTTTTCTTTTTAAATCTAAGATTTGAAAATGAAATACAAGATTACTCATAATAAGTTTGTCTACCTTTATCAATAAAAAAATATCTACCGGAAAGTCAAATTAAATTTTTATGAGCGTTTGAAATTCAAATTTTTACAACATTGGATATTCACTCGATTTCTCATGTAGCGATTTCCTTATTTTGTTGTAATTCAAAAACGAATAACTGTAGATACATGAAAATTTCACTGAATGTTTAAATTAGCATTTCCTATACACCATACAATTTTGAAAATATTTTGACTCTTTTTGAGCTGTTTATGGACATTTAAAGCTTTCAATTTTTTTTAGTTTTTTTTTCTATAAATATCAATAAAGTTTTATCTGTTGGGCCAAAAAGTGTAAAAATTTAATACAAGGCTCCTGAAATATTGTTCCAATATCAGTTGAAAAATATTAAAAATACATAGGCACAGTTTTTTTTTATAAGCATTTAAAGATCGAATTTTGACAAAATTTATCAAAATCTCGAAAATTATCAATCATTGTAATTAATAAATTATAAAATGTTCAGTTTTTATAGCTAAGGATTGCACATTTAAAACAAAGGTTCTCATAAATGGTTTATACTGTAACCAAAAAATCTAAAAAATATATGAACACAGTTATTTTTTACAGACATTTTAAATTCAAATTTGGACCAAATTACATATTAAAAAACCTAGAATAACTATTTTAGTTATTTTGTTGTGATTGAATAATAGGTATTATTCGTGGGTACTCGAAACTTCTAAAGTGTACTATTATATATCTATGATAGTATCACTGTTTTTGTTGATGTATAACGCGTTATAAGTACCTAATGGATATTGTGATATGATTAATTTGGAATTTATTATACCTAGGTCAAATTTTGGTTTAGTACCATAGATATGTATATAATATGTCTTATACCTAGACAGTACATACCGTCTCCGCTCAGAATCGTTTTTCTTATACAAGTATGTTATGTCGTTGAATTCAAATTTAATATCATCCATTATACAGTGACCCACTTGTAACCTACTGTACAGCAGAGCGACACCCGCTTGCCCACCTTTTTTTTTTTTGAAACCTAGTTAAATCGACGTTTTAAAAATTATTGTGCCAAATTAATTCTAACACCCACCCATGGTAGTTTTACATAACTACAAGTCGAAGTATGTTTTCGATATTTTGATTGTCTATAGTAAGAAAATACCAACAATTTCAATTAGCCAGTAGCCTATAACATTAAAATAAGTCTGACCACCAAATTCAGATTTCACAACGTTTTCAGCATGCGTAACTACATAGGTAGTAGGTACCTACATTAAAACAAAGAAATTGAAAAAAAAGGTTGTTAAGCAAAACAGAAAAGTTCCAAACGCGCAGAAAAATATTGAGTTGTACGAATGAGTAGGTAGGTAACAGGTATACACCGAAAATCGTGAACTTGGTAAGGCTATAACTTAAAAACCAATGATTTCCAGCAATTCATTTTTGCAACACCGTTCTTAACATTCACGTGGGTGCTAAACTAGATTTGTTCCCAATAAATTATTATAATTATATGTAAGTATATATAGGTATTATATTTGTAAATTATCGATGGGGGGTTGAAATACGCAGCTAATCTGAGTAAAATAATTCCAAGTTTCAAAGTATCGCTTAAACATATCAAGTATCTTTCGACATTTTTTTATGAAATACTGGATACAATGACTAAATGTGTCGCAATACAAAATAGTCTATGCTTCTTGTAATTGTATCGAAGATAATATATATGATTTATTTAAGATACTGTCCTGAGGTAAATAGTATATTGCATTGTGCTTTGTACCAAATATTTTAAAATAATTTTTTAGTATTTGATTACTTATAAATTATAATTATTTTATATTAATTCTATTGGTATTCTATAATCTACATTCTACAAGAAAAGATTAGATTAGAAATACGTTTGAAATCATCATATGAATTGCATAACCACCCGATTTAAAAGTATAATAAGAGTATAATAAAATTATATTTTTATCAAAATCACGATTTTAAGCATCTTGAGAAATGATGAACCTGATGACTCACATTAAAAACAAAGAAGTTATGTGAGCTGTAGGATGCCGACGCCTTATATAGACCCTTCAAATTGTACACCTCACTTTTCAATAGTTGAATGCGATAATCGGCAATGTTCTTTTTATTTTAATATTCATATTTTTAATTTGTTGACGTGTTCATGGAATATGGATATGAGACATTGGTTTAACATACTATCAATCTAGGAAACCATATTTTTATTTCAAATACTAGTAGTTAACTATGACATGTTTTTTTTTAAGTTATATAACTCTTAAAACTATTAAAAATATAATATTAATTGATATTACTCAATCATTTTAACAAATACAAGTTGTACTATTATTTTTATTAATATTCATTCACAAAAATTATAATACGGCCAGTCCTTTGGGTGCTAAAAACTAAACGTCTGATTGTACAAATATTTTGTTTAAAATTACATAACATTTAACGCACTATGTTTCGTATTAAAATATTTATGTATAATTTTGTTTCATTTTTAACTCATGCTCTAAATATTAACATCATCCTCTAAAGTACTGGATGGACTAGTGTGTTACATGAAAATGTTATTTACATCATTAGTGTTCCAATTATGTATTAGACATTAGTATATCATAGCATATTATATATATATAAAAAAAACTTATATAAATACAAAAATGACTTGGGATTTATATAGGGTAATTATATTACTTTTTATCTACAAGAGACAATTATAAAAAGGAAAAAAATGTTAGGTAAAATATAATAATATGACACAAACAATTTAAAATATTATCCCAGTGCTATTATGTACACAATTATTATTATTATTATTATTATTAATATTAATTTATTGCCAGAAAACAAATGATGTGTGAGAACCAAAGTAAAATAAAATATAAATAAAACAATGCTCAAGAAAATACTAGTGCTTGGTTTTGGGACTTGATGATGGGGAGCTATTTGGGCTGTTTGATTTTGATTTTGCAGCTGAAGGTTTAGAACACTGTACTTGTAATTCTTTCCAAGTACGTCCTTCTCCTAGGAAACAAACTATCACAACTGTCATATTGTCACACCCAAGACCTCCCATTTGACCATTAGGTGCTAGACACCTTGTCATTAAGTCTTCACATATATCCTCGGGCTCCATGCCATTGCTGACACGGAAACGCACAAACTCAACAACTTCCTAAAAAAAAAAAAATATATATATATATGATTTGTACATAGTATATTTAATATTATGATAATATAGTGTAAGATTATAAATTATTATACTTAATACTTAGTTTATTTTTACTTAAATTTGTCATAAAGTAGATGAAGAAATATCAGAATTAGATTCAAATCAATGTATGATAAAAATAATATGTATAATATATTATTTTACAATCATTATGTGTATTATTATTGATTATAACATTATTATTATTTATTTAAAATATGTCTTACTTCATTAGTCATTACGTCCCAAATTCCATCACATGCTAAGACAATGAATTCTAAGTCCTTTGTAACTGGCTTAACTTCAATATCAGGCCAGGCTAGAAATTAAATTTCATTAAATGTACCATGTATTTATTCAGAGATAAAACATTTTATTTAATATTTTATACTATATAAATCATTAATGAACCTTGTTCAAATTATTATTATTTAATGTATAGAAAGATCCATTTACATTGCCTCACTAATCTTATCAGTACATATTATTGGCTTTCAAAAAAAAAAAAAATATTTAAATTAACTTGAAGTGTTCAACATGTTTTAATTTAATATATCTAATTTTTATCATGGTTTTTTTTTTTTTATAATGTCTTATTTTAATTGAAGACAAAAATTCAAACTTTTTTTATTAATTATTAATTATATTTTATTTAGAAAATATTATATTTATTTTAAATTATATTTTTACTTTAACACTTTTTTGTGTGAGGTCTGGGACTTGGCCTTTTTTTCACGGTTAGATACATTAGGGCTATGTTGGATATCATTCATTTTTTGCTAACTTCGGCGGGTTTTGGGTTTTTATAAAGGCAGAAGCACTATAGGGATTGTTTGGAACTTTGTTAAAGAGCATAGGGACACTGCCATGCACTCTGATACGGGTAGATAAAATATAACTGTTGCATATATCTTTACCCCATGAATGTTACCAAGGTTAATGGCATTTTGTAAATCAGACTTACCAATTACAATTTGTTCATCTAATTTTTTTTGGTCATTTTTTTTGAAAATATAATCTCCTAGAGCTCTGGATAGAGCTAAGTTGCCATTCACCCTGTTAAACATGACCCAACCACCAGCTGCTTCAATTCTTTTAGTTTCTAACTCATTGTTTGGTTTGTGGTCATATGATAATGGTTCAACTACACCACTTACTGATGCAATAGCTCTTGAATCTCCAACGTTTGCCTAGATTTTAAGAAAAATGTAATTAAGAAAAATGTAAATAAGATAAAATTAAACATAATATATATTTCCTTACACAATACATTTTTTTATCTTTTAATAAAACAACTACAGCAGTTGATCCAGCAAGCTCATCTTTTAGAAGTTCATCTTCAGCCATAGCAGTGTCCATGTCCATGAAACCCTAGAAAGAAAACACATGATATTATAAATGCTATTTTGGAATATTTAAAGCACAGTATTACCAGTTGTAAGGCATCACTAATTTTGTTCTCCTCATATTCTGGTCTCTTGGTAATAAATTTATGTAAATGCTTGCCAGCATATTGTGCTATCCTTGCACCTAAATTCAAATATAGTAACAACAATAGAATAATTAAACTTTAAATGGACATTATTTTGATCAAGACATAGCTTATTAGTTTTATGAAATAAAAATGCGGTACAGTAAGTTACAAGTGAGTCACTGTTTAATGGATTGTATAAAAATTTTAATTCAATGATATAATATCATTGTATACAAAAAACGATTTTAAGCGAAGACGGTTTGTCAGTCTGGATATTATGTATTGTTATTATTTATTATAGCTAGTAATAAGTTAAATTAATATAACTTCAACTAATATTATAAATTACAACAAAATAACTAAAATTATTATTTTTATTTTTATTTGTTTCTATGGTGATAAACAAAGTGTTAGGATTAGTTTTTAGCGGTTTTTTGCAATTGGTCGGTGGTTTTTCCGGTGGCATCAAATAACTCTTTAGAAAACCGAAAAAGTACCATCTTAATCCAGTTTGCTAAAAAATAAGATAATATAAGTTGAAATCAAAGTACTCCTTCAAATAGAAATTTTGTATACAAGATAAAAAAATAAAATAAAATAATAAACACCATTGTAAAAAAACTAACTAAAATATGTCCCAAGAAAAAAATTGAATTTAGGAAAAACTTATTTAAGAAAGATAATAAATAATAAATATAGTTTTAATTTCTTAGGGCTGTCTTCTAATGTCCGGTAAAGTGTCGGTTAACTTTAACCGGACATTATAAGAACAGTCCTCAGATTAGGTACCTACAGACAATTTAAATAAAAGTAAAAAATATCATTATATAAAACTTTAAAACTTGTGATTAAGGTGAAAGTGCTTTAAATTGAAAAATAATATTATTTCTTGTATGCAATATACGTTATTCTCACATTCACAAATTCAATAATACAACTCATAATGAAATAATCTTAATCTTTAATTAATGATGATTAAATACAAAAATGGTACCTATAATTTTATTTACATAAATTGAGCATAAATAGCACAATAAACAATTGTAAAACTAATGAAACATTAAATTAATATTAGGAAGTACAGACTCAACAACAAAAAACACATAATAAGAAAGAGTCAATACGCTCATTATAAAGTCCTAAAAACAATACTTCGTTTTGTAAACGTAGGGGAAAAAATATACACCTAGGTATATTTTCACCTTCCTTATGGAATGTACATACAACCACATTAGGGGGATTAGCTGGAAGTTAGTGAACAAATAATGATTGAAGGGTGGAATAATCGGTTTGCAAAGCTATGTGGACATCCAATTAACTGAAAAGTAATAAGGAAAATTAAAGTTGAAACATCTGTGAATGAAAAAAAATTGGCATAAGATGCGCTTAGAAATTTGAGTAACATAAAAATACTAGGACAAACTAGTATTGTGGAAAATATATGAATAAAAATACAAGCAGACAAAATTTGTATTATTAGATTTTTTAACATTCGTAAGTTATAGGGTACCTACCTAATATAAGAAAAAAGGGTGATTAAATTGTTTTTTAATATATAAGTTATTGAATGTATTCCATAAGTAACTAGATATTTCTTTTTACAAAGTTGAACATACATTTAAAATATGATTGTTTCTAATTTTATAAGTTATAAACTATGATTATATACCTACTATATTTATTATTTATTGACTTTTTTTTCCTAGATTCATTATAATGTGCATCAGTGTATTTTCAATCAAGAAGTGGTGCACTGTATTTTTGACATACGACCGACTGTTAAATTTGTAGTTGCTATTCTCTTAAAATAATTATTACCGCCATGACCATCATATACTCCAAAAAATGCGGCTTTCGGATCATCGGGAAGTGCCAGTATATGAGTGTGGGAATCTTCCATGTTGATTCTCCATCCTTGCATAGAGCTGGAGCCAACCTTTAGAAACTGGTTCTGACAGCTTTCCGTGTGCTTTGTAGTCACCGGTTCTGATAATGTCTGACCCATAGTAAAACTCTGATGAACTGTAAAACAATTACAATATGTATAACCCTGCGTAGTTGCATCACGTTGGAATCAGGTAGAAGAAAACCGACATTGTCACTCATAATATGATTATGGTACCTGACGACAGTCGTCGAGTCGGACGTGCCGTCGAGCAGTGGAACGACGGTTTGGGGATTAATTTATTTTCGACTTTCCCACACTACTTCACCCAATCAGGGATCAGCAGTGGGGTGAAACCTGTTCGACAACCAGTCTAAAAATGACCTACTTACATTTTTTTAAAATTTACAATTCAACAAAAACGACAAATTGTGCGTCTAGTCTTCCATTTCATGACGCATATCATCGGGATCGGATATAATACGTTTTATGATGGTCGTTCGATTTCGTTTCCTAGCGGACCCTGAGAAAACCTGCGCCGGACCGCGCACAGAGACTACGACGACACGAAGAAGATGGTGATGACGATTGACGATGATGACGGAAAGACGTGAAGACGATATTATCGTGCTGTACTGCCAACGGTGATGAGCGACAATATCGGATATAGTTTCATCGAAATTACAATGTAGTTTTTTGCTTTTTTTTATTTTTATTTTATTTATTTACTCGTTCAGTCATTCAGATAATAATACAACTTTACAATACAAGAAAACGTACGGATGGAAGTTGGGAACGCGGTTGCGCGGTATACGAAAATGCCGCGAACAGCGCACACAGCACACTTGCATGAGAAACAGACTGAAAACAAAATTCGACTTCGCAAGTAACTTCACTCGTTAGTCGTTCCCCCGACGATCGGCGTAGTGAATTTATCGCTGGATTTCGGATCGGACCAATCGATACGGATTTTAATATTGATCACACGCACAAACGACGGAAAACGAGGAATGATATTTTATTAATAATAATATTATAATTCTATGTTGTCTGTCGGCGTTGGTGGGGGGGGACACCGTGCACGGTCCGTTTTGATAACAATAATCTATAATTATCAGATTATTCAAAGTTGTCAAGTGTCCATCTATAGAATTAGAATATCTCCTTTCGACCCCCGCCGGAGCATTGAGGTTAGAAAACGGAATTCGTTTCGCTAATCGCGATCAAAACAGTAAAACACAACAATTGAACTGTCCGACTTCCGTCGTCCGAGTACCCCATAGATAAGTATACTATAGTATGGACCACGAATTAAAATTTAAGTGTTTTTTTTATTTATTTTAAAACCAAATTAATTTACATCTCCCCCATTTTTTTCTTCAATAATGCAGTTATTCAAAATCTGAGTTTTTGAACTTTTAAAATATGCTTTAAGACCATATTTTTTTAATTCTTAAGTTTTTTGTACTAGGTACTTAAAGAGTGACCTTTAAAGATACAAACTTCTGTTTTTTTCAAATGAAAACATCCCTATCAACTCTAAATTATGCAGTAGATAATTTTACTGACATTTTAATCAACAAAAGTTTGTATTGCCACAGGACACTCCTTAAGTAGTACAAAAGAATTCATAAATATGAAAATATGATCTTTGAGTATATTTAAAAATTCCAAAAATAAGAATTTTAATGAATTCATTCTTAAGAGGAAAAAATGGGGATGAGCATGCTCGGTGAATAACACTGTATATCTATCCTTTTTTTTTTAGTGAATTGGCTGCAGAAGTTATGATTGAACTTCTCCGCAACTACACAACTGATTATGGTAAACAGGCTAAAGATGATGCAAAGAGGTGTATTGCAGCTATTGCTGACTTTCTTATTCGAACCATTGTTGAGTTTGACTCCTGTTATATCTCTACAAAACTCACCCTTCCACGAGCTTTTGGTTATATTTGTCTCTGGAAATCTTACTAACTATTTAGATTTCTTCAAAGATCACAAGGATTTAATCAAATCTTTAGGTATTACATTATCATATTATATAATATTATTTTACATCCCTAATGGGCAAACTTGTACTACATTTTTCTTTGATCAAGCCTAAGAAAAATTAGTTAAAAATAAAAATAAAAATTTTACTGTATACTTTATCTAACATAAGAAGTAACCTGAAAGGCTAGCTAGTTCGCATGGACTTTGCTTTACAACACACGTATATGGTTGAATCAGTGGAAATGACAAATGGGTTAAGTTAAATAGGGAAGTACAGAAATATAGGACAATTGATCCCTGAAAGAAAACACTGTATGCAAATAATTGGCTCAATTTTTACAGACAAATTAGTTTATTGGTCTCATACAATATTGAACCTTTTAGTATAATACATTACACAATTTAAAATGAGGTAATCGTCACAAAATACTGAGAATATATTTACTGATACTGTGTTTCACTTAGTGTCACTAATGGGGTAATTTGTAATATTTAAATTATTTTTGAATTATGTATCGCTGAGAAAAATTGGGATCAGTTTATGACTGCATACTCAAATTTTTGTTCTGGAAACTATTAATTGTATGTTTATCAAGTTTAAGAATGGTGACAGTAATAGTATACTACATAATCCAATGATTACCTTCCATTTCACCTTAAAAATTATTTTTATTTAATATCAAGTATACTAATGTAATACTATGAAAGATTAATATGTATTTACTATTTAGTAAATAAATGTATATTAATGTTAAAAATAGTTTGCCCATCCCTAACATATTCATCTTGGTTTTTAAATTTAAAAAAATAAACTTGCAATATCAAATATACAATATATTATTTATATATATATATATATATATATATATATATATCTTAGCATTAGATCATCAACAAACATACACAAGATGAAATTACTTGCAGTTATGAGTTTGGCCGAGGACTCTAGCATCATAACATTTGATACAATACAGCAATAAGTTCAAATAACCACTGAACAAGTAGAACCATTTTTACTTGAACGTAAGATGAATTGGTTTAATTTTCATTATAAACTAATATTTTATGTGGTTTAAGTTGTTAATTTTTTTTTTTTTTTTTTATAGTTTTTGGTACAAAATTTGTTCGTGGCCATATGGATCAGGCAGCAAAAAAAGTGAACATTTCAAGCACAATGTACAGAATATTCAGCAAACAGCTCTGGAAAATGTTGAGGAACTCGTTCTTCAGTTGGAGATCTTGTCTAAGTGTTATCGAAGAAGTAATGAAAACTGTTGTGTCAAATTCTCAAACAGCAATGTAAAAAAATACATGTGTAAAAGCCATGTCAATTAAATTGACATATTTATTAAAACATTTTTGGAATAAAGAAAGTTTACTTAATAAAAACCATTGAAAATATTTGTGTTTCAGTCACAATACAATACACATAGTAATATAATAAATTATAGTAATAAAAATTTCTTTTATGATTAATTATACACCAATGATATGAAGTAATATAATTTTATCACAAAAATAAAATTTTAAACTTAGATAGTTAAATATTTGAAAAGATTATCTAATAATAATAATAATAATAATAATAATAATAAAAAAGTATTCATAAAATAATGGGCCAAACATTTAGGGGGGATTAAATGGAACTAAATTTATCTGAAAATTTAAAGAAAAATTTGTACTCAAATTAAATTCATGATAATATTGAGATCACATAAACTTCAGTGATGTGAATGTATTGAAGTTAGGCATACTGCTTACGGAAACTAGTATGCATTGCAATGTTCTTTGGTAACTCTGCTTCTTTATTTATGTGCGCATTAACAAATGATCTTTAGGCCCAATTACATAACAAAAAGCAATAACAAATATAAATTAAAAACAAAATGCACTTGTCCTAGTAAGTAGGAAAAAGTTTTTATCTAGTTAAAACTATCATGGTAATAGTTCAACATAGTTTTCTGGTACTAGGCCGGTCTTGCCATTCAGCGTACCCTCTAGCCAGCCTGGTTCACACGAAGATCGCACTGTAAATAAATAGGGATTCTTAATAATACAAAATATACTAATGAGCAAAATTAACTGAAATTATTCAACAAATGACAGAATTTAAACATAAAAAATTAGAAGTACCGTTTGTAATTATTTGGTTTGGCTCAAATGACAGTTCACCATCATTTTCTCCGAGACATGCATACAGAGTACGAACTCTTCTACAAACATAAAACGAGCACAATGTTGCAGTGTAAAAATTAGAAATACAAAATAAGTAGATACTTTGGTGGTATAAAAATTGTTGCACATTAGTAAGCTTGGTTCAAAGAATAAAAAAAGCATAAATTGAAGGTGGAAAAATCTGTTGTTAACATTTGTCAAATTTTTATAAATATATTCAAAGCAGGGGTGTCCAACATTTTGGAAGGCTGGGCCACATTTAGAGAGTAGAAGTCGTCTTGGGCCACATACCAATATTTTTATAATAATACATTTTATTTATAATTACAAGGGAAAAAAATTATTTTTTTAAAAATAACAAAACTAATGTGAAATTGAAATTCCTCTTTTTGTAAAATGAATTAATCAATATCCGGATCAATTAAGAAGTGGCACTCCGAGTTTAATCGTCTGATCACCCATATGGATCATTAATGTACTATCGCTATCCAATTATAATAATAATTATTGATAATACATTCATATACTATTAAATTATTTTAAAGATAATAAAATTTTTAATTTTATATTCAATATTCATACACTTTTTTTTTTCTCATAATAATATAATTTAATTAATTGATTGACGTTGGAAATACATTAAAATTTGCCGTGGGTTGGGCACCCCTGAGTTAAAGTTGCAACTTCTAAAGCATACTTATGCAATTCAATGTGTATTTCTAATTATACGGTTAGTATGTTAGTTTGTAAGTTTACAATTTGATTTGGTTATTAATGTGAAAAGCATGATAGTAGCGTCACAAAATAAATAAACAAATTTTATTTATTCTGTGGTAGCGTATAAGAAGCTTGTTTATAGTGGTTTTGTTTATAACATTAATTTTTACTTTATTTATTGTTATTGGACTGAGGCGAATGACAGACACTCACAAAAACATAATAAGTTCGAGT